TTTCGCGTCATTGTTAATCTAGTGATTATCTAATTGGATGAGCCAAACAATGAAATATAAGAGCTATTGAACATCTGATTCAAGACATTACTCAATCGTAGTAATGTATAGTATCAGCTAATGATACACATTTCAGAAACTTAATATGTTCTTTTTTTTTTTTTCAATTTAATGGAGAACAAATTACTGGTAATAGTAAAAATTATCCCTGTGTATAACATAAAATTAGCTCTTCTAGAGCGTTCCAACAAATTTACAGATCCTCATATTGTATTAATGTAATCGTTATCATTTTTGTCTTTCTCATTCAGGGAGTTGTAACAAGTTTAATTAGATAGTCGATGTATGTTACGTAATAAAATTGTTTGAAAAAAATGCTTTATTGTCATTTTCTCAATAGAAAAAGTCTAAATAATTTTCTACCAAATTAACAATGAATTATTTAACGACATCCATATAATATGGTCAAAGTATCTATATTAACTTTAATCGATAATTGATATTTAAATCGATGATATCAAATAGTTCAAAGAAGTTTAGACATTTAAATGAACCACATCTAAATTTTATCAATTAAATTTAAAATTTTAATTTTGAGCAAAATTCAATAATGTAGATGACATGCCTTTATATATATATATATATATATATATATATATATATATTCAAATTTTATATTCTCAAAAATGTAGGAAATTAGTATAACTAATTCACTATGAATAAAAATATTTAAGCATTATATTAGAAATATTAAATGACGAATTTATAGACCTTTCATACTACAAATTTAGTAGGAGGAAATAAGAGTGAATCACCCAAATGGTCGTCGAACTTTGCAAAAAGTTTTCACAGGGTCACTGAATTTTAAAAATTACCCATTTCATCATTGAACTTCATAAAAGGTTTCCACGAGATCACTGAATTTTAAAAATTACTCAATTCATCACTGAACTTTTCAAAAAGTTTTCAAGGGATCACTAAATTTTGCGAAAGTTTTCCCAAGAGTTATATACCCTATGAAACTTTTTGCAAAGTTCAGTATGAATTAGGTGATTTTTAATGTTCAATAACCTCGTGGAAACTTTTTGCAAAGTTTTGTGATGAATTTGATGATTTTTAAAGTTTAATGATCCCGTGAAAATCTTTTACACAGTTCAGTAATTATTTGGATAATTCACTTGAGGAAATAAATACCCTTTGATTTTAAGTAGTGATCATGTTCTTTTTCTCTTCCAAGCAAATTCTATGATCCTAGTTCCAAATATATAATTTTATTTTGTTATGAATGCGCTCAAAGGAACACACTAACTCATTCATGAACATTCGCACTAGGTATAATAATAATAATCAATGCATGATGAATGAAAGAGTTTGGATGTAATCAAAGCGTTTTTTTGTTTTTTTGTTTTTTTTGTTTTTTTTGTTTTTTCCTTTCAAGGCTATAAACAGACAATTCACAATTGCTTCTCATCAAAATGATTAAATTTAATTAGCTTAGCAAAAAAAGTTAAACAAAATATTTATGTATGAGACACAAGGGGAAAAAAAAAAAAAAAAACTTACGATACTTATCGAGATTTGCATTACTTCAAGAGCAAAAAATGATATTATTCGAAAATTGAAAACTTATAAATTTAAGCTCTTTGGGAGCAATAATACAATATTTTTCTAGATATTATAATGTCATAATTTGTTTATGTTTTTGCAAGCAACAAAAATCATTCCTTTTGGAATAATGGGAGAATAATCTAGTGTTATTTTGAAATATTGATTCTAAGTTTATACTCTTCCAGGAGTAATGATACAATATTTACTTTAAAGTCTATAAATTTGTGATTCTTCAACAATAATCACATTATATTCTTCAGGTATATATATTAATAAATATAGAATTGTGCTTCTTTTAAAATAAAATAATTATAAAAAAAGCTTTTTAAAATAAAATAAAAAGTTATTTCAAAAAAATGTTACTTAGAAAAATAAAATAAAATAAAAAGTTATTTTGGAAAAAACCTTACTTAGAAAAAATAAAAATAAAAACTTATTTTAAAAAAAGGTTTTTAAAATATAATAAAATAAAATAAAAATTATTCATAAAACATTTTTAAAATAAAAAAATTATATTTTTAAATTTATTTTATACATATAATGTAAAGTTAAAATTTTACCATTTTTAAATTTAATGAAAAGGGTGAAAAAAAGGTTGGGTGACCATGATGAAACGTTGCATGAAAATGGGTGACCAATGTGAAATAAAATCAAATTTGATGGTTATGATGACACTAAGTATAAAGTTGGGTGATCATTATTGGACTTAACCCTTTTATAGTAATTCCAATCACTATTTTGCATGACCAAATGATCTAGAGCACATAGTAACAAAATAATATTTGTCATGTCAATAAAAATTTTAAAAGAAAAAAGTCACCTCAATTAGAAAAATAGACAACAAAAAATAAAAATAAAAAATAAAAAAATTTCAATACTCTTTGATGAAAATAAAAGGAAATATCTAATGTTCAATATTAGCAATATGTACAAACCTATAGGAAGTTATTAAATTAAACAAACATTATATAAAAATTTAACTACAAATCAATCAATTTTATAAAATTTAATCTTTTTAAAAAGTCTTGTTTTAATACATCAGGGCCAAACTCTTAGAAAGTTGATAAAAGTCAATTCAGTACACGTACGAGATTGATTCTATTATTCTTTGTAAGCTTGTTGCCTCTAGGTCATCCAAAGACACCCTCATAAACAGTAATATATTATTTTTTATATTAATAATGCACACCACTACAAGAAGTTTAATTTTTTTAAAAATTAATGAAAATTGACCTGTATAAACTTAAAGTTCTAAAAGAAATGTTACAAGTACAGAATTTTTTAACAGATTTTATACAGAAAATACAGCCGTCTGTCTCACAGGTATTGACTACTGTCAAAAACAGTTTTTGACAGCAAATCACAGGGAGACAAAAATCTGTACCTACAGAACAATTCAAGTTTTAAATCTCGAAATTCACTCTCTCCGTTAGGACATAAACTGCCAGCATGTGAAATGACACGCTCGCCTTTGGATACTTTATATTATTCTTTGAAATGAGATACATATCCCAGATCCCATCAAAGATAAAATTAACCATTTCACCAAGTAAATAACTAGCCATGATGCGTAGGACTTGACAGCATAATACCTAAATCCTCAGGGGAATTGAAGAATAAATCTTGAATATAAGTTAAATAAATGAATTCAAGAGTGTACATGACAATATTAAACCAAGCAGAGAATACCGTACTTCAGTGTTATAAAATCTACATGCACCACACTTCTGCATCTTGCTTGGTCTACAGTGAAGAGTGAACTGTACTATAATTAACAGAGGCGTGTACTTCTCTGGTTCTAAAACACAATATATTTGCTAATCCGGTATGCATCAAACTTCAGCATCCTGCTTCTTCAGTGAGATGGTGGTGCAGTTGTTCAAATTGTTGTATGTTTTATTTCCGTTTTACTGTCATCCGAAAGCAAAACATATATGTACAGGCCAGGCCATACACGGCTCGTAGTTAACCTGCACGCATCATTCAAAATATTCATTGCCTATTTGGTAAGGTGGGTTGTACAATATTAAAGGTGAAAATGAAATTAAAGTATTGTCCATTCTAGTGTTCCTTTTTAATATACCACATTTAACATCATAGTGCATGTCTAGATCACATCAGATAACAAGACAGTCTAATGGATAAAATTTAGTTTCCTTCTCATTCTAAGAAATGTCCAATAATATATAATCCTTGGCACAAAACGCCAAGATTAATAAGATAGAAACTATTTCGCATCAGTTGCACAGGGCCATTCAAGGCCAGAAAGACTACCTAATCCGAATCTTAAATCAACAGAAGTTAAGGCAACAAGAATAGGAAGTAAACAGAATATCCAAGAACAACTTAATAGGTGATCTTTGCCAAATCTGAATTCATTGCAACATAGAAGTAAAGGGGAGAATAATTAAAGTATTTCCCAGCACAATATTAATCAATGATCTTTGCCGAATCTGATTCATCGCAACATAGATGTAGAGGTGAAAAGAATTGAAAGTAAACAAAATCTCCCAACACAATATTAATTGATTATCTTTACCTACAGAGTACCTAACATCTATATATTATAATGCACAATTAACATGTGAGATGTATCCTTACCCAGTTACTGTTGTTTCACTTAACGTTTTGAGTGCCATACACTGTGCAAGTAACGTGCATCACATGATCATTATGATGAATTGTTTCCAAGCCCCCTCAAAAAAAAAAAAAAAAAAAAAAAAAAAAAAAAAAAAA